TTTATTTTAATAATTTTAAAAAATAATTTTAATGAACATTTACTGAGATTTTGGATTTCCATTCATTCATTGCTGCACTTCTCTCCCCGCCCAGGCCTACACCCCACCCCGCCCCAAAACAGTATCTTTTCTTTAAGAAAAGATAAAAGATAAAGCTTCCCTATTTCAGAAAGCTTCACATAACAGAATTCTGCATTTAAATACCATTACTGAGTGTCTCTGGCACACCGGGGCATCTTCACCTGTGCAATAGTGCAGCCTTGTGTGGGAGACTCTTAGGAGAATCCCAAAATGACAGAGACAAAGCTCAAAGTCCATTGTCCCATGGCCAGCAGTTTACAGAATGGGTTGTGCTAGGGGTCTCGCTCTGAATCTTGAGCTCTACTGAGAAACTACTGAGCTGCACTGACTGTGAAGAAGAGCTGGGCCTGGGCTCTGCCCTGAGCTTGACGCTCCTGCCCGGAGGGCTACGTGGCAGTGGTGGCTGGCAGACACCTGTAAGAGTGACCAGATGCCTTCTCACCTGCCTGGTGCATCCCATGTGACTGGCACTTTCGGCACCAAGCTACCTCCAGGCACTGGGCAGATATACTCATCACCAGAATAATAAAGGTGCACACCAGATGCCTCATCATCCACGCAGACTCCCTTTCACTTACAGCCTGAGGGACAGTTGGCAGCAAGCGCGCTCCCAGCTTAGTTGTTCTGGGCACAGTTCCAGTCACTAGAATGGGATTATTAACTCCACTGACAGTGGGTCTGTGCGGCCTCACAGCCACACGCCCAAAGAGGTGCAGACCCGGATGCTCACTAGGGCATGTCAGGAAGCTGGTGACCCGAGACCAGGCGACCTCGCCAGCACCAATTCAAGAAGGTGCCTGACTGATTTCATTTCTTTAAGGAACTGCTTAACTGACTGCTTTAAGGAATACTAAACTGGAGAATCATAAACTTAGGCCCATAGAACATTTTCAGGCCTATAGAACATTTTCATGTTTTGGGGTGGAGGGAAATGCTACTTATCTCAAAATAAAGATTTTTAAAAGCCTCAAGTCTGCTATTCTTGTTGTCACTATACTTCAAAAACACTTCCCTGCAGCCATTACACTGGCACTGGAGCCATCACTTTTCAATGCATGTGTGCAAAGGTAGCAGGGATGTGACATTCTAGAAAAAGGCAAAACTATAGGGAACGTGAGTACAAAGACCCAAGAGTCAGGCAAGGGTTCAGGAAGAGAGAAACGAGAAGAATATGTGGAGCACGATGGATTTTTAGGGAAGTGAGATTATTCTGTAAGACGCTGAAACAGAGGACTCATGACATTAGTCATGGGTCAAAATTCACAGGGCTGTATAATAAGAGAGTGGACACTATATAAACTAAGGTCTTTAGTTCAGAATGGAGACTGAAGGAAACAAGAGCCTGCATCTTATCCACCTCTGTACTTTGAAGATGCCTTGAAACTCGTACGTCGAGAATGCGGGTAGGGAGTTGCACCTATGAGCATGGGGCGGAGTCTAGGCCCACAGGTGTGGGCACCTTTTAAATGTGGACGTCACTAGTATAAAGGACAAAGCACAATGAAGGTCAGTCAGCAGGCCCACCCACATTCATGTTCTAAGGAGCCCCAATAATTATGGAGCAGGGTGAGGAGGGCTCTTTTGGAAACCTAGCAACGTAATGATTTGTGACTTTTTTAAACTTGGGGGTGAGGAGCACAGATCTGATGTAAAATCCTCCCTGACTCTGTGGTTTACCTGGCTATACAGGCACACTTTTGCTTCTCATCAGGAGTTTGTCACTATTAGGTTAAAACAAAGGATCAGCTTTTGGGTTTATCACTTCTGTATGGCTCACATTTTCAGCATGTATCTATTAATTATTTCTACTAGCTCTTACTGGGCTCATTTTAGCCCTGTTTTTCTAGCTTCTGGAGTTAAAGTCCTTGTGTATTTTGTGAATTTTTGAGAACAAGTCTGACTATTCTTGAAGTGTAATCAGTACTCTTAACATCATCATTTTCTCAAGTTTGTATTTCTTCTCAAAGAGCTATTTCTGACTATACTTTTTATCTCCTAAGTGGTTTGGGGGTTTTGTTAATCCTTTTCTTGGTTTCTAATTTAACTTCCCTATGGCAAATAGAAATTGCTCCCTTTTGGAACAGAATGCATTTCATCCAACGTGAAGTAAGCTTCACGTCTTCTATGCTCTCATGCTGATGTGAAGATGTTTGCAGAAGTGAGAAAAATAAGGACAATCTTGGATATTTTCATATACTTTTAATTTTAAATGACTCATGAGCTACAATTAGGCTGTGCTTTACTTCAGTTGTACACAATGTCCTAATACACACAGAGGCAAGAATGAGAGTCATAGATTAAGCGTCGGTCAGGCCCCATGGGATGTGAAATCCATCTAGGCCACTTACTACAGGTGTGTGATCCTGGGCATCTTGGTATCTCAATTTCTTTACATACTCAATGGAAACAACAGCTTACAGTATATACAAATATGAGTGTTACAAACAGTGCTGGGTTTGATAAATGCCACCTGTTATTAAATAATTGTAGAGTACACCTATTCCTCACCTATCAAAGATCATTACTGGATATCCTGCATTTATGGTAACAGTACAAAAAATGTTATCAACTCTTGCACAGTAATGACATACATATGGCAATAATGAATGGAAGAGATGAGCTGACACACAGCCCAGGCAAACAAACACATCACTACCCGTGACGTGTAAGGTTATTCCTCAGTTTGGCTGTGTCACGAGTCTCTGTAGTCTGTTTTCACCTAACACCAATTTACATGTGACTATCTGGTCTCTGGAAGCTGACCATGTTGGTGAGTGAGAAGTGGATGTATTTATTTCACAAAGCAAAGGAATAACCGTTGGAAATCTCCTTAAGTTATTACTTGCTTTAGAGATTGTACTAATTTAGAATTTCTCATTTTAGATATTTCAGAGTCTTGGGACTACTTTCCTGAGCCATCAGCAGGTCTTACATATGCACTAGAGAAATAGAGTCTGTACAGAATCCTGGGGCTCTCGCAGTAATTGGTTTTACAATTGTATCAAAGCCCTGAAATTTCTTTATGATAAAAAAACAGGCTGAGGCCTCTCTGTATCTAATAAATCTATCATTACTATTTTACCCTCAATAAACCCCCTAAAATATGAACAAGAATCAAAAAGCAACACAGACTGGCCAGGAAGCATGTGGCCTTGTGACGTGGCCCTGGACAGGGCAAGCGGAGCAGCCTGCCAGCTGACTCGCTGGGCCATCTCTAATCTCCTGTCAGTCAGGAAACACTCACACCTCATCTAAATAATCCAGCTCATCTGTTTTTCAGCTCCTGTGAGGTTCTGAAGCCTGACATCACCATGAGACACTTCCCAACCTCCAAGTCTAAAAACTGTTTTCTGGCAAGACAAGTTCTTACTTAAAAAAATAAAACAAACGACATTATGCTAAGTAACATAACTCAGTCACAGAAAGACAAATACTGCAAAGTGCCACTTTTGTAGAATGGGACTGACATCTGGGTTGTGGTGTGACTGAGAAAAACTGGATAAATTATGTATACCGCATTGAAACAGACGAGGGAGAAAACAGTTTAAAAGCAATATATGATAGGGTATTATTGTTATCACAAGAGTCCAGAATTAAGGTTGCATAGTGGAGTGCACTCGGGGTGGGGGGTGGGGACATTGTATACCAATGAAGGTTTTTCTTTTGCTTTTTGAAGAGAGGAGCGAACTGGGGGTGGGGGGCGGGGAGAAAAGTGCAACAATGAATGAATGGAAATCCAAAATCTCTGTAAATGTTCATTAAAATTACTAAAATTAAATTTAAAAAAAATAAAACAAACGAAACACGACAAAATCTCGCAAAAAAAGCGTGAACATATACACACTGGAGAATGTTTGGAGAGAGGATGCCCCTCAGTGGTGGGATTAGGAAAGAATTCTTACTGTCTACTTTTGATTCGAATTACGGGGCCCAAAGTTGACTGCTATTGGTGAAAACACAAACCTGCTGTCATCTAGTCATAACCAATGCACAGCTGACCCTCCAGTGGATTTCCCTCCACTGGATTTCCAAGGCTGTATATATCCCACGGGAGGAGATTGCTCATCTTTCTCCTACAGAGCTGGATTCGAACCCAGCACGTTTAGACTAGCAGGACAGCTTCCTTGAAACTACGCCACCAATACTCCCTTGGCCACTTTAGATTGAGTTCTAAATCTAGGAACTTCTAGATCATAAAGATAGCAGATTAGACACAGGGGAGCAACTGACTCAAGAAGAGAGACACTACCTGATCACAGATGCATCTACAAGCTGAGGATTACAAGGCCGACTGGTTACCGGGCACAGAAACAGGCAAAGAAGGCCCCGTCTCCGCCCTAGCTATAACCTAATACAACTTTTAGCTTCCTAAACTGTGAGAAAAGATATTCTTTAAAATCACTAACTTGTGGTATTGTTTTTTTAAAATTTATTTTTTTTTATTTTAATGAATGTTTACAGAGACCTTGGATTTCTATTCATTCATTGCTACATTTTCCTTCCTCCCTACTCAATTCATTCTTCTCTTTGAAAAGTAAAAGAAAAATCCTTTCCTTGTTATACAATCCCTCCCCCCAAATCTACTCCATTATGCAGCCTTCATTCTGAACTCCGGTCGTGATAATAATACCTAATCATATATTGCTTTTAAACAGTTCTCTCCCTCATCTGTCTCAATGCAGCATACATAATTCATCCCATCTTTCTCAGACTACCTCCAACCCCAAAGTCAGTCCTGTTTTACAACAGTGGCACTATGCAACATTTGTCCTTTTGTGACTGAGATATTTCACTCAGCATAATGTCCCCCAGGTACTGCTTTTACAGCAGCAATTGGGGAGTTAGGACACCTCATGATTCTGCTGGGCTCAACTCTTTTTTCAAAATAATGAAACAGTTCTATTTCTTTTAGCTATTTCTTAAAACTGAGGAGAAATGTTTCAGTGAATGTTTAAATGGAAGGAATTTCTACTCCTTACTGGGTTTCCTCTAACACAAGTTTGTCAATAATTAATAATAAAAAACCAACAAGTGGAAATGGTGAAATGGGGGACACTCACAGCATGGCGATACCCCAATGTTTCCCTGCTCGCTCTCCTGCTGCCTGGAAACCCGAGAGGCCGATGAGGGCTACGGTAGGTGTGATGGTCAGTGGCCCGATGTACTTCAGCAGAGCCCCGGGAAGGCCCAGGAAGCCGATGACCACCTCAATCAGCGAGGACATGATGATGGCCCCCTGGATCTGGAACAGGAAGCAGAGAGGTCAGAGTGGACTGTTACACGCCACGTACTCCACGTGCTGCCTGCAACTACCACCGGTAATTCTGCAAAGCACCACGTTAGGCTATGAACAGGCTATTAACACTGCTGCCAAGGTCTCTGGGAGATTTCAGAGCGGGTAGCTTGGGCTCCGTCAAGTGACGGATGATGGGATCTCAGAAACAGGGACTGAACACAAAGCCAAAGTGAAATGATCCAGATAAAGCACATAACTTCCAGTTTAGAAAATATAACGTTTCAGAACCCACCCCGGTTCTAGACTGCAACTCAAGGATTCATGACTTTAAAGTGTGAGCTCCTGCAGGGTAATGGAGATTGCATTACTAGCAAAACTTGTAGAGGAATGTTTGTCGAAAGCTTTCCTGAAGTTTTGGAAACTATGGGTGGACCTTTCAGCCTGTGCTGGACCGGTGGGACAGTCACACCCAGCTCTGCTTCAGTGCAATTTAAAAGTCTGAACTCTTTCAACAGGTAGAAGCAAACGCCGGGGTTGGAATGAACAAAGCCACTGCCTGTGGTCAGCCTCCATCGCCCATTTCTGAGGCTCGTGAGTCCTCAGCTTAACTGAGGAGGAGCGGGAAGCAGAAAAATCTACGGACACACAGAAGGAAAGAAAAAGAAAGGAGAAGGGAAAAAAGAAGGCGAGAACCCCTATTAGCTGGCTGCACAAAGCCCTTTCTAAAGGTTCTATCTTGTGAATGAGCAAGAGTCAGACGAGTTACGTGTGTAAAAACCAAACTGCAGAGATGTGTATCCCAGTACTTGAAAAGAAAACAAGGCTCAGTTAGTCAAGGCCACAGTCGACGTGGAAGCGGAGAAGAGAACACACGCAGGGCAGCGGCCATCCAGGCTCATGTTTACCTCTCGGATCCGTGGGTACCAGATGTGCTCTGTGTGCAACAGCTCTGCGGTCCCGTTGGCAATGGACATATCTTGAAAACAAAAACAGAAACAAAAATTCTTTCTTGGAGTGAAGCTCGTATGCCACCCTTTAACAGAATTTGTTTTTACCCTTTAACAAGAATGTCCTCCCTGCTTTATCAGGTATCTGCGTATTAAGTACCCATCCCTGAAAAGTCAAGTGACAGCAGGACTGCTTATCCCCAACACTAACTTAACCAAATGTCTTCACCGACAGAGAACCCCAGCTTGTCAAAGGGTGACTGACGTGCGGATGCCTCACACCAAAAAAACCGACCATGGCAAAAGCAGCTAATTGAAATGCCCTATAGCTGGGTTGACTGACTGGGGTGTTAAAAACCTAAATAAAACACAGGGGTCTTCTCCAGTTCCTAAACCAAGTAAAGAGTCCCAAGATTAACTCCTACAAGGAGCAAGGGAGGAACAAGAATCTGGGAAATTTTGCTCCTAGACTTAAATGTCATGGTATTTTGAGAATAGCAGGTTGCTCCTGATTCTCTCGAATCCTCTCTCTTTTTCTGACCTTTCTGGGTTATTTAAGGCTCTCTGTGATCACTACAGAGGCTGGGGAGCCGGGAATGAAAGTCATCTATAGAAAACCAAAGTAGCCAGATCCTTAAAAAGCAAAGATGGTTCAGAGAAGGGATACTGACGCAGCAAAGAGTGACTACTGGTGCCTTCGTGAAACCCAATGGAAGAAAGAGACGGGGGAAAAAAATAGCACAAACATTTTCCCACTCCATCCCCGTATTTGCCGTTTGGATTAGCATAGAGAAACGAGGCCGCTCTAGTCCTGCTTGCTAGGGCTGGGGATGCACAGGAAGAGACACAGAGCAACAATCCACAGGTGGGGCGGTCTGGGCTGTCTTCCGGCTGCGTCCTGGACCACAGCGGCACGTCCGCGCCTCCCTTGCACCGGCTATGTTAAAAAAGACCCCAATGACATATGTGGAAATAACTGCAATTACCTGTGGTGTTACATTTCCATTTATCTAAAGACAGGATGGCTCGAGCAGGGGCCAAAAATGCAAAAGCACTGGCCTGAAACAGGGGTAACCTAAAAGAAACGAGACCAAAACCATGATCACAGCATCGGGAACTACCGAGGTAGTTCACTATTTGACAGCTTAACAGTCTTTTCCATAGAAACAGAGCAAATGAGTAAATGCAGGCACACCTGGGGAAGACCCCCCTTCAGCGGGGACCCCCTGCCCAGAGCAGCCTCCCACTGCCTCCTGGGCTGCCCCCCTGTTCCTCTCCTCCCGGGCCGGTCTAGCATGGGCCCTAGAAAGGTTAGAACCAGCACCCCAACACCAGCCCCTGCCACCGCCACCTTTCCTCCTAGGGTGTGGGATATGTCAGGCATTCGGGGCTCCCTTATTTCCTGTGGAGCTTATCAAACACTTAGGGTGTGGATAACATCTACCATACCACCCACCTCCCCATCCCTGCCACATTCTTAGCAGGTTAACACTGGAAAAAAAAATCCATTCCGCCCCTCTGTTGTGAGTACAGCTCTGCCCTCCTCAGAGAGGTAAACGTGAAAATCACATTAGTGATCTGGATCGAATTAGGAAACGGAAAGCCGCAAGTTACAAAGCCCCAGTAGCTAGGAACTACAATAAGATAGAAGTTTCTTGGATTATAACAAATACTCAGACGTGCTCTTTCACATTTCTCTGGGATTGCAGTGCAGCTTCTTGCCACTAGGCCACCAGAGCCTCCCATCTATCACATTTCTTAACGGCACAGAAAGCTCCATTACAAAATCTGCCAGACCATCCTCAAACTAAACCCAGAATCCTTCAAATGCCTCCATTCAGTTATTGTTTAAATACTGCACAAGGACTTATGGAAACCTGGGTTACTCAAATTCTATCGGTTCTGCCGTTCTGTGTTTTAAATGGATGGCATTTTCGCTGCTGCTGTGAGCTTCTGAGGTGGCTTTATGGGCTAGCTACCGTGTGAACTCCAGTACTAGTTCAATAAACAGTGTTGATTATTTATGAGGTAAAAACCTGCCTCCTGTATGTGGGGCTGGGAGCCTCCCAGATACCCCAGTAGCCTATCAGTGGCCAGTTGGAGGAGAAGCCTGCACCCTCCCCTGAGCTGTTGGGCAGCAGGTGGTGCCTGTGGTGAGACAGGAAGTGGACAACTGGCCACGTGTCCAGTCCAGCAACTGGCACAGGGCATTCCAAGCCAGTCAAGGAGCCCACTGCCTTTGTCACAATGCTCTCCCCACCATTCTAACCATGCAATGGAATCACTCGGGAGTGGGCAGGATGCTGGCTTCAAGACACAGAGGCAGGCCACACAGTGCATTGCTGATGGTCACTTATAAGGGCAGGCCCTGTACAAGCGTCCACTTACAATTACCTGCTGGAGGACCCCGGCCAGGAGGCTGTCACAGTGAAAGTGGAGGTCACCTGAAGTGGGAATGTACATCAAAGGGAGAACATGGTTTGACAAGATTCCTTTGGTGCCACCAGTGAATGTACCCGGACACAGAAATCAGCTCAACTGTCCAAACAGCTTCTGCATTACTACAGCCTCGGCTTTCATGCAATGCATCCCAGGACAATGGGATCCTGCTTGTAGTCAGAAAGCTCTCCCTTGGGAATGTCCCTGCATTGATAACTCACTGATGTGGACAAAAACGGCAGCTCTGGGTTCTGCCTCCGCTGACAGGGACTACTGTTGACACAGGCCTGAACCCGACTGTCCTGAGGCATGTTCAGTGAGCAGAGAGGCTCAGCTTGGACCAGATCACAGAGAACGCGGATACGGAGACATCCACTTGTGTTAAAGACACTGGGGCTCCGGGCTCCTTGAAAGCGTGTAGTAATACAAGACCCCCCCGTCCTATCCCTATAGCGTCACCCATGGTGATCTGGAGAGAGCAGTGCCTGCTGGCATTGTAAGTTCAAATCCAGCCTCACCCGTTACAATCTAAAGTTTTCCACCGGGTGTGACCTTCCTAACTCCCAGCATTAAACAGCGCTTGACTAAGTAATTCCTAGGGAAAGAGGCAACAGGAGTCTAAGTATAAAAGAGAACACACATCACAGTCACTGCAGAAAATTTTCTTGAGGGGGGTAAAAGAGAAGATGATCATGAACTTGAGAGATGTAGCTGGTACTGCGGCTTTTTCAGGCACTTACCAGCATACAGCTGGTCCACCGCCAGCTCTTCCCCCCTCTCACACCACACCACACCACCATTCCCTGAGTGTCTCATATTATCTTCAGTAACTCACTGGGGATCCTGGGGTAGACAAGACATCAGGTCGTTTTTAACTGATATCCGGACGGAAACAGACTTTTTCCTTCACCCTTGAGGTTGGCATTCCTGCCTACAGGCCAAATATGGCACGTGGCATGTTTTTGTGAATAAAGTTTTATTGGAACAAGGCACAGGTGCTTATTCACATACTGCCAAAGGCCATCTTCATGCTACATGAGCAAAAGCGGCTAGCCTTGACAGAAACTATTGTTTGTAAGGCCTAGAGTATTTACTATTTGACCTTTTACAGAGAGTGTTTGCTGCTCTCTACTAAAAAAATAAAATAATAATTTAAAGCTAGCTATTTGAAGTCATGAAGGAATCAAGCCAGAAGGAGGTGCTGCCGCTGTGGCTCGCCCGTTTGTAACTGCTACTTTGCTCCCTCCTGTTCATCCTTCCTGGATGCACACTGATGAACGGCCAGCGGGCGTCAGCTTCCACGTGCACCCACCCCTGGCTTCTGTGCGCTTCCCTCGCCATAGCACCCAGTCACCTGAACGCTCACTGCTTTGATGACGTGCTCACCTATCCCTTGGGGCAGGAATCTCCTGACAGCAGGACCTGTGTCCCCAGCAATAATGTTACATATCTATGGGACCAGTAACTAAAGATCTGAAGGTGCAAGGTACACCTGTGACTCTTTCAATGTAAATTTACTTTAAACATGTCTAGCATTTAAATCTTTGTGGGAAGTCCATTTAAACCACAAATTTGGGAGAAGGCATATTTTATGCTCGTTATGCTTAAGCAGAGAAAAAGTGCATGAATTCCTAAGACAAAACCAGGTATTTCCACAGACCGGCAGGGGAAAGGGCTTAAAACATTTAAAAGATGTTAAATAAAAACACATATATCCATTTCCCTTACATTTTCCTATCTGATGTATGTTAAGAATGCATGCATACTTCTATGTATTGGCTGAACTAATTTAAAAGAGCCGTGCCAAACAAACCGTGTCTGTCCAGAACAGACGTTTTTATCAGCAGGGAAAAGCCAGAATTAAATTAATCAACACAGAGAGTACACCATGTCTAGCTTCCTTGATCCAGCAACAAAGTAATCAAAGTTGGCTCCGCAATCCTGAAACCAAAAGAGCTAGATGGGAGCCGGCTTCCAGTGCTGACTGCGATAAAGAAGTCACAAAAGAAGGACCTTGAGTGAGGATAAAGTGGAGCAAAACTTCAGATCACAAAAAAGGACCAAGGTTACAGGTCTGATAGAGATTGGCTGGACCCTAGACTGTGGCTCTGTGTGATCCGTTAAGCAGGCAACTGAAATCATGCCTGAACTCAGCTTTACGCCACATGATAGGCCTACACAATGACTTAACAGCAGACAGGAATGTATCCTCAGAACAACCAGCCACGTACGATTCAAAAGGCGAGCCCAGGGATAAAGCTGAGAAGGCAGGAAAGAAGGAATGGATGTGGGAAGCACAGAAAGGAATTAGGAAGTATGAGGACGTGCTGGAATATGCAGGAGGGGATTCGAATCAGTGTTAGGAAACAAACTTGTATGAACTGCTGAATAGAAAACCAATCTGTTCCATAAATTTTCATTCAAACTACAAAAAAGGTAAAAAAAAAAACCCACACAACAGCAAAACAAAAAAACTCAAGACAATCATAGTTGACAGAAAACCTTCCACTGTGAAATAAACAATAAACTCTTGACAAAACTAAAACAGCTTTGCCTCTGACGAGCTCTAGTGTCATAATTGAATGTCATTAGGAATGTGTGTCCTAAGAGCCTTTAAAGAGAAGCGAGAGATGACGTGTCAAAACAAAACCAAACTTTTACCAGAATGGCTACTTAGCATGAAGAGCATAATTACAATTGACACCACTGAACCATGCGTGTAGAAATTGTTGCACTGATGTGTATTCTGCTGTGTTGTTGCACTGATGTGTATTCTGCTGTGTATGGCCTCAATGATACATTAAAACCACACATATCCCTTTTTCTTAGTTGATAACATTTTCTTATATCTGATGTATGTCTGAACATATGCACACATGTACACATGTATACACTGGCTGAACGCAAATTAACTTGTTGACAGCCTGACCACTCCAGAGAATACATATTCTCCCACATCCCTGTTTTCCCCTTATCATAACCAAGAAAAACAGTATTAATTTAATGCTGTAACCGAAGGGTCAGGCCTTCCGCAACTTTCTTATTTACAAAGTGTCATGTAACACCTCACCCCTCCATCCACCCAGAGTTCCTATATTACATTTGAGCGTGCGCCAAATGAATCAGGCTAAGCGTCCCGGCAGAGCATGTTTGATGTGAGGCCTCGCAGCTGCATCACACCAGGTGGCCCACAGTGATGGTTACCCACCATCCATCATTCAGACTATTTACTAATTCTCATTGCCACAAAGTCGGAATCAACTTGGAGATGATCCTCCCTCAGGTTTTCAAGGCTGCAAAAGGCGCGGGAGATGGCCAGAGAGGCATGGCCTGGGGTTAGCAGTCCAACTCCTGATGGACCAGCCACTGGGGCTACGTTATTTATTAACTGATGACCTTTCATAAGGAAGAGCCTTCTCTTTGGTCCTACGTGATATCCTCTTTTTGAATCCACAGTAGACACATACATTAATTTCTCTTTTTTTTATCCAAAGTTTTAAAATGCTCTGTCGTGATAAAGAATGATCTTTGATAATCAAACTGTCCCAGCTTGGACATGGCCATCTGTTCAAGTGGGCTCCTGGTCCTTTTGACAGGACCTCCTCAATCCACCCCTACTAAGCTTATCATTCTTCT